TATATGTGTAAAACACGAGGGCTCTCTACGGCAATTTTAATGTCTCTCTCTTTTCTGCTTTGTGGAGGAAATTATGCGCCTCCAGTCTAACTCACACCCTAAACCTGGAGGGATATGTCATTCTTTTTTTTTTTTTTTTTTCCCAAAGGCATCAGGAAGAATATACTTGTGTTGGAAGCCAGTGAGAGAGCAGGCAGCATCATAGTGTGTATGTTGGCAATACACACACAGGCTTTTTTTTAATTATTATTTCTAACTCACATTCCTAAAAACTGCACATCATTCCATTTTCCTGCGCTGCAGGCGCCTTTACAAAGCCAGTCTGACACATTCAAACTTCTGTCTCCCTCAATAGTCTTACTCCTCAATGATCATGTCTGCAGGGGATCTAGCACCACACTGTGTGACAAAGCAGGACCAGGGATACATGTTGAGTGTGAATGGTATTGTGATCACAACTGTCGATTTTTGCTTGTATCATCTACTAACATGTTTATGGGCCATTTTAATGGCGGCACAGTTGGCAGTCAAGGGATAGTTCGTAGGGCTGCAAGGTTACGGCTGAAATGGCGATATGGATAACCCTACTGGATAATTAGATCAATTTCTAAAATCTGTGGCTTGAGGAACACAATTATGTACTCACATTTTCATTTACAGGGAACACTGTGAATGTTTCAAATGTGTCAGTGTACTATACTGTAATTATGGAAATTAAGATTGTAATGCGATTACATGATTTGCAGCCCTGTTTCCATGATTCATGATGGAATATTTCACAAATTTGGTTATTTTTGCTGAAATAGAAATGATGGCCCCTTTAATTCTGTGTTTTGAATGAGTTGAGCATAACTACTCCCATAACTGACAGCTCTCTGACTACAGTGAATATAAAAACTGTCACTGTTTTCATTCAGTATTTGTGACATGTATGTTTTAGTTCCAACAGATGTCTCTTAAAAGTTGTTTTGCTGCAACCAGCTTGTTTTATATTTTTTACATTTGTACAATAATAGTTCCCAATGTTTGAAAAGAAATTCGTTATTGTCGACCAACATTGACCAACAAGTGAGAAGGTTCGCATTGCCAGTGTGAGGCGCAAAGAAAACATGCCATATACGATCTCTGCTGGTACATTTTGCTGCACCACAAAGACATAAGGGAGCTTTTGTGTTCGTGCTGCTGCAGTGTTCTGGGGAGTTTGTCACAGCACCAAGCTGCTTCCAAGAAAGCAGTGAGGACTTTTAAGTTACACTGCCGTGATATACCGTCGCCACTGCCCATGAATTAATTTGTGATGAATTTGCGGACTTTGTGTAAACAACTGGCTGATGGCTGAATGTAAAACGCTGCACGTCACCATTCACCATTCCCAAAACTTTAGACTGTCATTCTGTCTTCTATTCATTAATGTTTGTCTAACTTGATAATTAAGACTTTTCGAGGTAAATGTTGATGCGCTTAAATGTGCACAGAGTTGTCATTTCCTGCATTTGTGGTGTGAGAGCGATGCCGAGTCTAAGCTTCAGACTTTGTTGAAGCTGTGTTTCTGTGGCTGATGGAGGACAAAGGTGCCTGGGGAGGGGAGGGGAGGGTACGGGGGGTTTAGAGATCTTTGGTTTGGGCCTTCAGTGAGCCCAGACAGAGCTCGTATATAGCCAACGGTGTTATCTTTCCAGGTTTGTATCAGAAACAGTGTTTTCTTCTGCTCCTATGTGATGACTATATGATGTAAACTCAGTATTCTCCCTCAGTGTTTGACCACTGAGACACACCTAAAGCCATATGGTATGATTTAAGTTAAGGTAAAAGCAGGGACAGGAGTGAATACTTGAGGTCTCAACTACATTTTTTTTAACATCCTTGTTGTGTTTGCACCCCAATATTAATCCCAAAGCTCCCCCATATTACTTTTCTTTTTCCCCCTCCTGTGGTCGATGAATGGTCTTTGTGGAGAGCTCTCCCTCCAATGCTGCATTGCTCTAATTGCTGACGTGTCCGCTAATGTCTTATGTGCCTCTGTCTGTATACACATCACATTAAAGCCACATCATTCACCTCCCCTGCCGGGCTTAAAGCACCTGCACAGCCATGGTACACCCACACAGGCGTTGTCACTTACTTTGACTGATGGGGACCTCCTCAGCACTGTGTGAGCACATGTAGACCATGTTTATGTCCCTGACTCTACTATTCAGTTTGTTGTACCTGTTGTCATGGCGGGACAACGTAAACTCTCCCACCAACCTGTAAAGAGGCCTAATCAAGCGGAATAGCTAAGAGGACCTATGTGGGTGTGCAGGGCCCTTAAGTGTCATTTGTTTTTGCGTATTTTTTTTTTTCTCCTCCAATCTTGTCTGTTTTGTTACTGATGGTCTCATTTACAAATCGCCTTTCTGTAATGTGCCTAAACTATATGGAGAGGAAAAGTATTCATTTTAATTTTGCCTTTCATATGAAACATATTCAAGCCTGAAAAGTAAATAAAATACTTACTACTTTATACTAATTTGTCTTATTTTTTACTGCATTAAAATGTTAGTTTGGATCTATTTTCCTTTGAATATGCACTGTTTATAGCAACAGAAAGAATTGGTTTCATTATCTTCAGATGCTGCACCACAGGAAGAGTACTGAAGTTTCAGTCTCGTATGTGTGAACAGCTAACCACGAGAGCAGGTTCGCCAAACGCTGCTCCTGTATGATCAAAGCATTATTTTAGTTTATGTTGAAGGTCAGGCAGCAGTTATACTTTCAGTATCGCCACCCTTCTGTAACTGTACACCACGAGGAAGATGCCCAATGACACTCTAAGCCAGAAATTTATTACATTCTTGTTTATTCTGCAAATACCATCTGTAAAAATTATACATCAAGCCTAAGTATGGAACTCTGGTAAAAGTTCACAGTTCTTTTACAGTCAAATTTATTTCATAGGAAAGTTCCATAAAAACAAATGTACGTACACGTCAGTGACGTAAAGAAGCACTTGATGCTACAACACAAACCAGATTCCATACAGTCTACTATATTGTGTCGCTTTTTTCTTTAAACACAACAGGGTGCTTGCCTTCTTTGGATGACAGAACTGAACTATTTTTTTTTGTCAGATTGAACCAAACAATATGTACAGATAAGAAATGGAAATTAGAGACGTTCCAAAAAGAAAGAAAACAGATCAGTGCTGTGTTTCACATAAGACTCTGAACAACCTCGCGAGCACATTTAAAGTAAGCTGCAAGCATAAAGTCAAAGTGTATGAGTGCAAGTTGGTGGTAAGGGGAGTAAGACGATGACACAATAAAAAAAAAAAAAAGAAAAAAAGGGGGTCATTTGATTTACTTTAAGGCCTAGGCAAGCACCCTGCAGCAAAGAGCTGTGCAGTTTTTCGTACCCCAAAACAAACTATGAACAGTCTCAACACTCCGTCGATCCTCGTCCAAGGGTTGTCTTGGTAGATAACTGTCTGACTCTTGACCACACTTCTCCCTTTTGTCCCCTCCTCGTCTTCCTCCAAATCTTTTTTTTTGTTGTTGTTTTTTTTCCCTCCTCCTTTCTCCCATCACAGCAGGCAGGCGGAACAAACACGGCAGAAAAAACGCTATCAGCCCTGCCCCTCCCGCTCTACTGGAACTTCCTTCTGATGGGAAAATGGCCGACAGGAGGATACTGGAGAACGTCGGTGTAGCAGAGGGGGTGACACGGCGGGAAAGGGAGGGACTGGGTGGATATGGATGGGGAGGAAGGGAGTGGAGGAAGGGAGTGGAGGGGGTGTTAGTGGCTTTAGCGTCCATCTCACGTAGTGGGGGAGGTCAGGCCTACCTCTAGGGGTGTGACCGAGAA